CTTAAACCCTTTTGACATCACTTGTACTTTCTTTGCCAGTCACATGAACAACAACTCAATCTCGGGTCAGATTCCGCCTGAGTACTCTTCTTTATCCGACGTTCTGCACTTGTAATTTTCTTGATCACATCTAAATTTGTTGATCTTATTTAAAACTACTGAACATGAGGGCTTGTTGGTACTTGACATGTAACCTGTAACTGAACTTGTGCAGCTTGATGGACAATAACAAGCTAACTGGATATCTTCCACCGGAGCTCTCTCAGATGGCAAGCTTGAAAATTCTGTAAGTTCTTTTTCTTTTTTTTTGTTGTGTCTTGAACTACTTATTAAAGACGACTAGCTAACTTTCTTCTACATTCAACTAAATTTGCTTCTTCATTTACAGACAATTGGACAATAACAACTTCCACATGACAGAGATCCCATCTTCTTACGGAAAGATACCCAATCTCGTCAAACTGTAAGAAACAGAACGTAGTAGAACATTTTGTGGTTTTCCTGTTGCGTACTGATTTTGTTGGCTACGCATAAACAGGAGTCTCAGAAACTGCAACTTAATAGGACCAGTTCCTGATTTGAGCAAATCACCGGTTCTCTATTACTTGTGAGTCACATTTACAAGAAGAAACCATAAGTATTCCAAGTTATACTAGTCGGTGATGTTTTTTTCTGTTGTTGCTTCAGAGATATATCCTCCAACAAACTCACAGGAGAGATTCCCAAGAACAGGTTCTCTGGGAACATCACAACTATGTAAGTGCCTAGCCAAGAAATGGAATGTAATTGATATGTCGTTACATTGTTGTTGACAACATGAACATCACTTTCCAGTAACCTGTACAACAATATGCTCAACGGATCCATCCCTTCGAATTTTTCAGGCCTTCCACGTTTGCAGAGACTGTAAGATCTTTGTTTTTCTCTTCTTTTTGTTTTCATTTCATCAAAAGATAAGTGTTGTTTTAAGGAAGAAAACGAAAGACAAGAGTGTTGTCTTAAATTTTCAGGTCTCTACAGAACAACAACTTAAGCGGGGAGATTCCTGTGATATGGGAGAAGAGGAACTTTACTGCAAAGGATAAACTTATCTTGTAAGACACGTCAAAACACTTGAAGAGGAGCAATGCTTATTTCAGATTTAGACACGACTACTAAATATTAGTGCTTTTTGTTGATTGATTTGATTGGAACAACTTGCAGGGACTTGAGGCACAACTTGTTTTCAAATGCGTCAAGCATTCTAAACCCTCCTTCCAACGTCACAGTCAAGTAAGATTATTTTGAAAAACACTAAATTGTGACGCAGAGTTAATAATCAGGCACTCTGTTTGTGATTTTTGGTGAGCAGGCTTTATGGAAACCCAGTTTGTGCAAGAGTAAATGAGCCAAACATAGCTGATCTCTGCGGCGTCTCGATAGTTGAAGTGGAATCTCCTGGAAATTCCTCGGAAAACTCAACCACAGGAGACTGCAAAAGCCAGTCCTGCCCCTTAAGCGAAAACTATGGCTACGTGATTGGATCTCCAGTTCCATGTTTCTGCGCTGCACCCATTGGCATTGGACTTCGTCTTAGGAGTCCAAGTTTCTCTGACTTTCGACCTTATACCGTCGCCTACATGGTCGATGTGGCCTCCAATCTCGGGATAAACCGCTATCAGCTGTCTATTGAATCATTCTCATGGCAATCAGGTCCAAGACTAGCCATCAACATGAAGATTTTCCCCGAGTACAGTGACTTGAACAGTACATTCAACACCACAGAGCTTCACCGCATTGTTGACTTCTTTGCAACTTTCTCTCTCGATACCGATGATTCCCTTGGCCCCTACGAAATTATCGATATCAGCCTCCTCGGTCCTTACAGAAACGGTAATACCCATCTCTTCTACTCATTATTAAATCCTTGTGAACCGAAAGAGTAATTCTGCTTCCATGTTGCTGCATGCAGTCATTCTCAAATCCCCAAATAACTCGGGAATGAGCAAAGCCGTCAAATATGGAATCATTGTAGGAGCTATTGCTTTCTTCCTTGCGTTGTCTTCTCTAGCATTGGTCCTCTTCATCAAGAGACGAAAACATAAGAGAAAAAATAAGAAACTCGACATGGAACAACAACAGCACAGTAAGTGAAAACTAGCTAGGTACATGTTAAAGCCAATTTATATGATAATGACTAATGCTTATCTCCACTATCTTCTTTCTGGCTTAGTCCCTAAATCTCCAATGAACATGGAGAGCGTGAAGGGTTACAATTTCACGGAACTTGAGTCAGCAACAAGCAGTTTCAGTGATCTGTCCCAGATTGGCAGAGGAGGGTATGGGAAGGTCTACAAAGGCCATTTACCAGGTGGCCTGATTGTAGCGGTCAAACGTGCAGAGAAAGGATCTCTGCAGGGCCAAAAAGAGTTCTACACCGAGATCGAGTTGCTCTCACGGCTACATCACCGAAACCTTGTATCTCTGCTTGGCTACTGCGACCAGAAAGGAGAACAGATGTTGGTATATGAGTTTATGCCCAAGGGTTCTCTTCAAGAAGCACTCTCTGGTAAGAATAAGATCCCCTGCAAACATCTTGGCCTTGTGATTGTGATTTGATGTTAATTATGGAACTGCAGCGAGGTTCAGACAGCCGCTGAGTTACGCGCTGAGACTGAGAATAGCACTAGGGTCTGCGAGGGGGATTCTGTATCTGCACACAGAAGCTGACCCACCAATCATCCATAGAGACATCAAACCCAGCAACATTCTTCTAGACAGCAAGCTCAACCCTAAAGTGGCAGACTTTGGAATCTCAAAGCTGATTTCACTAGATGGTGGAGGAGTGCAAAGGGATCACGTAACTACCATCGTCAGAGGAACCCCTGTATGTCTTGCTCTGTTTCTACATTCCTCTGCTTTTAACATATCTATAAAACGAAAATGATTCTTAAACAGGGATACGTGGATCCAGAGTATTACTTGAGCCACAGGCTAACAGAGAAGAGTGACGTTTACAGCCTTGGGATCGTGTTTCTGGAGATTCTGACAGGATTGAGGCCCATATCACACGGGAGAAACATAGTCAGAGAGGTGAAGGAAGCGTGCGAAGCAGGGATGATGATGTCGGTGATAGACAGGAGCATGGGGCAGTACTCGGAGGAGAGCGTGAAGAGATTCATGGAAGTGGCCATCAGATGTTGCCGGGACGACCCGGAAGCGCGGCCGAGGATGCTGGAGATAGTGAGGGAGCTGGAGAACCTGTACGGGATGCTTCCAAAAGAGGAGAAGCCATATCCATCAAGCCCATCGGTGCAATCATCTGCCTCGGGAATGTCAGGATTCGCGGCTGGGCTTGGGTCTACAAGAGACACTTACAGCAATTACTCACAGTTCACAGCTAACGAACTCGTCAGTGGCGTCATTCCCTCCATCGCTCCCCGCTAGCTAATCAATCTTTATGTTTAGTTTTGCTTCTTCTTTTTTTACGTGTGCAGTTTTTCTATTCTTGGCTTTGCATATTATGTATCCATATAGTTGAAACACACATCCATTAGAGGAAAATGGAGTAGACCGGTAAAGTTATCATCTTTCTTTCGAAACTTATGTCTTTTGTGTTTTTTGTGATTGCTGATTCAGCATTCTACTGTG